ATAAGTTGTCACAAAATTCTGTTTCAAATGTCTCTAAAATGACATTAATTTCTCAATTAGAGTCAATTTAGAAGAGAGAGAGAGAGAGAGAGAGAGAGAGCACTATTACATCAAACTATGCTGAGAGTGTGTGTGAGTGAGAGAGCATTGGTATATTGTGTGTAATGTTTGGGTAGAAATGCCTACAAATGTTGGTAGTGTTGCTAAAAAGGGCACAAATACTCAATTCTATGGCATTTTATAGGCTATTATAGCGTAGTATTCGTGAGATGAGTGGTAATATTCTGTGCCACAGGAAAAATATATGTTCACTACTTTTTGATGGCATAAACATCACCACTGGTTGTGTACTGTTGTGCACATGATATGTCACGAAACCCGAGCCCTACTCATACCATAAGCCATTATTTAATCATTTGTATATTTTATTAAAATTCTGTCTCATCTCTGAGACGCTCTCCTATTTCGCACTCAATTCCCTCCTCTTATCTCTTTCTCTCACATATCATATCATAGTTTATATACATTTTTATTAAAATGCATTTTTTGGTTAACATTGCGTACAACACATGTGTGCAAAAGGGAAAGGGTTTTACCGTCAGAATCGTTGATTCCTGGAAATTACACACAACTCAGGAAACGACTCATATTTTCTTACTATACATTGTGTATAAATAGCAATTGGGTGTCCATTCCTGGGCTTCATTCCCATCCCTATCTCTCTCCCAAACACTTGTATTTACAGTATGTGTACCAGAATTCTAGAGCATATCTGTTACATAAGCGACACGTTTATGATGTAATTGTGTGTAAGAATGGCTTAACTATTGTGTCAAATACTTAACATTTGCATACATTATATAGTATTTGGAGAGAAACGTTTGCATATATTAAGCACTAGAACTAGTGATGTCTAACAGTGATGTTAGACTTATTATTAAAATGCATTTGCATTTAACTCTTGTAATATTTATGAACGCATAAACATTAGTTGCAATTCTTGATGATATAATATGATGCTCAGGAGAAACATATCTCTGGCAACACTTTATTGCCACTAAAAATATATTAAAAATTTTAATTTGATTATAAAGTGCTGTTTTTATGTATGAATATATAATTAAGAATCTCAAGAATTTAAAGCTAATAAAATATAACAGAATTTGTCGGTGTCTTTAGTAATACAGCCATATATTGAACTTGCATTTGAATTACAATAGCAGTAAAAATGATAATAAGTTACACAATAAAAATATACTTTATATGAAAAACTCATATACAGTATACGAAGCGATGGTAAGGCAACCTTCTTGCTGTGCGAACCGAAGTTTAATGAACTGTTATATTAAAAGTTATTACGAAAAATGTATAAAACTGTGACAGACATTGACCTAATAATAGTTGCCCGCGCTCTCCAACTGCTGATGGTATTTCTTATAAGTTATAACGTTATGCCGGTATTAGTCTCGCAAATATTCAGTTCAGGCAACTATTTCTTACCTCAACAAAAATAAAAGAGAACCACTGTTTGTCTCACAATTGGGGTCTCTATCGGGGGTGTCTATTGGGGTGATGACACACATTCACCATCACTAACCATATTTACTACAATATTATATCTATGAGTATATAAAAGGCCAGCCGTTTGCGAACGGAACGGATAATTGTAGTCCTCTATTCAATGCCCGCAACTCTTATCTCTCATATTATATATTAAATAAAGGAATTGTATATTAAGTTAACCGTTATATTAATATTATATCATAACTTAACTCAAGTTTTTATTATTTCTCTCATATTTTTTGTCGATTCGTTTCAATGGATGTCCGCTTTGATCACGAGTTTTCTGAATCCAATTATCATTCATTAGGCAGTCATTGAGTCTAACTATTCATTCATTCATTCATTCAATTGTATGAGAATAGAGATAAAGAGCGAAATACTGTATATTCTGCTCTCAAATTAGATGCAATTTTTTTTGAAAATTTAATTATTTAAAGTGTTTTTTAATTGAATGACACGAACAAAAAACTAATTGTAATTTTTTTTTATTAAACTAAAAGTTAGTTTTAAGAGTTTGCTCTTTAATTCTTTATGTAATTAAGTGATACTATTTGAGTGCAAATCACAACAAAAATAAAATTTCTGTAATTTTCACTACAAATGTAAGTGTGTTTGAATTGTCAATTGCAAAGTAACAACAAATATTACATGATGTATATATATGCCCAGAGCACTCGTAATGTAAATTTTTATATACTTTTTTAAAGTGATTTCTCTTTATATACAGTTATAGTTACATAAAAAGAGGTCAACAGTATTTGGTTTTCAATTTTATTCATATCTTTATATTCATATTTTATTTAATTTTTCAATAAAATACAGTATAACAACATTTGAGTTGAAGTCTTATATACAGTACTAATGGTAATGAGATATAAAAAAAACAATAAAATAAAAATTATGTGTTTGAGAAATAACTATGAATTTTACAAAATCAATAAATTAACACAAAAAAATACTTTTCACATTTGAGTTAATTATTGTATTTCTTTGTCCTTCGAGTTAACGGTCCAGAAGTCATTGATTCGGTTCGTTATCTCAACCGTTTGCGCAATCATTTCATCCAATTTGGGAATAATTGACACACTATTAAAATAAGTGCCCAACTCTTTGGCACTAATATCGTCGACACTTTGGACGCCGTGTTTGTCCATCAAATGTCTCTTCGCTTTGGCGTCCAAACAGAACTCGGTTTTGATGTCTTCGTAATTACAGTCAATGCATTCGTAGGGAAAGTATTGCAAATGATTGTGAATATGGCTCTCAATTGTCTCGCAATTCGCCAATTGTTTCGTCGATTGAATGTCAAACACAGCGGAGACGAAGAGACAGACCGGACAATAGACTCGGTTCACGTCACACGACATGTCGATCAGCGACTTTCGGTCGTCCGACTGATACCGAAGAAACCTTTCGATCCATTTGCGGACGCCTTTGAACTCATTTAACTTCAATAGATTTTGTTGGTCTTTGTGTAACGCATTGTGCGAACGAAAGTCTGTGATGTTCTTCAGCTTGAGGTGACATTTGGCGCATTCAAGGTATACGAAACAGTGGCGCAGATAGTGATCAAACGCTTTGTTGTAATCCGAGTATCTTTTGCAACAAAAAACACAGCCATAGGTCTTGGCTTTAAGCGAATCAAATTCAAAGCCAAACGCTTCTTCGTCTGATGAGATCTCCACCTCATCATCAGATATGATCTCATCGCTGATCTTCGGTATCGATGGTTTGACTGGCGTTGAAGTGCACGGCATTGGAGTTATAATGTGGACAGTCTTCGGATCAGCAGCCGGTAAGACACGTACAAAAAGTGGCACATTCTTCGATGTGGACGCCTCTGAGGCAGTCAGAGCCGTCTGAACGGCCGCTATCGGACCGACGGCTATTGGAACGGCGGCTATCGGTTGATTGGTTTGCGTTGTGGTCTGACTAATGGGAAGCGCTACCATCAACGGCCGTAAGCGCTTGATTGGTGGAACCGGAGAAGTGACCACTCTTTGCGGTTCCCGTAACGGACCGGGCGTTGACTTGGGTTTCATGGTTTTGACGGTCGGTTTAACGGCAGTAATCGGTCTTTTGGTAATCATTTCCAATTCAGTCACTTTCAGTGTTCGCATCGATTCCTCCACTTTCTCGTCAAACTCTTTCCGATTGAGCGGCGATTTCTTCATGTGTTTGTCGATTATATGCCGTCTCATCATTGCTTTCACAGCAGTCTTCACCTTCTCTTTCTGGACCTCAATCTCATCCGATTGAGACCTCTTGTCGGCGGCCGACTGTGTCTGTGACTCTTCCTCACAGATGAGACACTCGTATGGATAGTATCTGAGGTGAGGGTTAATGTGATTCACGTTATTTCCCGTGTAATCCACGTTAATATCTCTGATGAGCAGTTCGTGTCGATCCGCGTCCTTAGGGTTCGGTTCGTTTCGGATGTTATAATACTATTCAATACAGAAAATAAAGAGTTTATTAATAATTTTAAAAAATCACTGATCTTTGGATCAGTTAGTGATAAAAGTTGTGAACAAACCTTAATAATACGATCACAAACAGGACATCCTTTGTATAGTGTTTTAGTTCTGTCGGGAATAGTCTTAATGGATTGACTCATACATCGATTCAGCGATTCCTGGTATTTCATGTGTCGCCCGATCCAGAGATCGATGGCCTCCTTCTCGTCCACTGCGGCGGTCGACGAGCCGTTCAAATGAGTTCTTCGCAAATGGCTCTCCAAACCGGACTTAGAGGCGATCGGAGGTATATCTGGACAAAAGACACAGAAATAGATATCACTCGGAGACCAATCAATGACCAGATCCTCTCCCGAAGACATTTCAACTTAATGTGGGACACAATTAAATATAACAAAAATAAAGTTTATGAATGAACGTGGTATGAGATAATGTGCGGGCGTGACAACTATCACCATCAAATCACTTATCAAGGTGATTTACGTCAAGTTAACGATATAACTTAGGTATCGTAACGTATAGTTAGGGCAAAACACAATCGTTTCCGATATACTGGCCATAAATGCTGTTTATTTGAGCATTTGATTGTAACTCAGGTCATATACGCGAGCAATTAGTGCCAATGATTTACATTGATGTAATGCCAAATACAGTGATGGTTGTATTGTTATTTGCTATAGCTCACATACTGTGCCAACTTCTAGTAACTTCGTCCACATATTTCGTCATTGAAAAATATTCAAAAGTTTTGCTTACGAACAGCACATAACGTTAAGTTTGCATTGGATTTCCATTGCAATCATATAGTAAACTACAAAAGTTTAGGCAACTATATTTCATCATGAATATTCTAATACAAATAATACTTGAACATTTTGTATAACGTAATGCAAATATGAATCAATTTATAATGATGTCATATTTTTACCATAAAGTAAAACATCATTTTGTTAGAATAAAATGTAAAAGTTTTTCAAACAAACCGATTATATATTTTGTATGTGTTTTAATGAACTTTTCAATCAAAAAATAATTTAAAATGTATTACACTTTCGTATCGATCGAAATGAATGCAAATATTAGATTAGATATAATTGTGAAACATTTTAACCGCAAAAAATGTGTTTAAAATAATATGAAATGTTTGGTTCACTATTCAGGGGTTCAAATACAAGGCCTAAAATTGATTTGTGAACAAACTTTGAGACCATAATTGGTGTTCAAAAACAATGAGTTTTCGGCGAATTTATGTGGAAATAGTGATGACATTAATGTTTGTCAAAGAGTTTACGCAAAATCTCTTAAGGTTTGTATATATGGGTCGCAATCGGTATAAGAAGACCAATAGACTGGACGGCAAAGTTGTGGTCATTACGGGCGCCAACACTGGGATCGGCAAAGAGACCGCCTATCAGTTGTCGCTCAGAGGAGCAAAGGTTTGGCCGTCAAGTCTTCAGAATATATTATATCTCAATTAATTGTGTCCACAAAAACAGATAATCATGTGTTGCCGGGATGTGGACAGAGGTTTGGCCGCCGCCGCAGACATCATAGTGAAGAACTCGCGAGCGGTTCTCACTGTAATGGAGCTGAACCTGTCGTCCCTGTCATCGGTCCGACGACTGGCCAAACAATTGACACAAAAAGAGCCCACAATTGATATATTGATTAACAACGCGGGTGTTATGATGTGTCCGCCGATGACCACCGATGACGGCTTTGAGATGCAGTTCGGGACCAATCATTTGGGTGACCAATAAATGGCAAACATTTTTAACATCAATTAATTGGATTCGACTTTAATTTTTAGGTCATTTTCTGTTAACGCTATTACTATTGGATAATATGAAGACCTCTGCGGACGCGCGCGTAATCACCGTCTCATCAATGCATGCAATGAGAGGTCAGATCTATTTCTCGGACATCAATCTGAAGGACAATTACTCGCCTCTGGAGGCCTACTGTCAGAGCAAACTCGCAAACATACACTTCACTCGACAACTGGCCAAACGGGTGGCCAAACAGTGGCCGCACATAACGGCACACGCCGTACACCCGGGAACCATCAGAAGTGATCTGTTCCGTCATCTGACAGGACTAACTGCTCTCATCTATAAGACAATCGGCTTTATATTTAACATAGACTGCGATCTCGGCGTTCAAACCACTCTTCACTGCGCTTTGGATCCGGAGGTCAGACACGAGACCGGCTTTTACTACAGGTTTGGCCACCGATTGGTGTCTTTACTAACGGATCAATTAAATGAATGAATGGTTTTGTCTTTATTTTTGACAGCAATTGCAAGAAAGTTGAGTGTCTTTTAAGGGAAGCATCGGATGACTGGATTGGACGCAAGTTATGGCTATTAAGCGAACAAATGGTTAGTATTGAAGATAAATACATGATTTGAGCCAAAGATTGAGTGATTAGATGTCCACAAATGCAACGCTTGATTGAATGCAAACAACAATTAAATTACATTTAAAGGGATTTTGATTTATATAACACGTTATGAATAAAAGCTATAGTTTTGCTATACTTTTGTAGTGCTATTTAATTAGTGACGAAATCTTATCCAATAGGACTCATCAAAAGTGATATCATTGTATTGATTGCATACAAAATACGTCCACTTTTAGAACAAAAGTTAGAAGTTTAATGTTTTACACGTTATTTAATATAAAGTTTTAAGTTTAATTTAATCATTAACCACTTACAATTAGTACCATGTAGAATATAAATTGGGACCTTTCACCATGAACATTTGCTTTATTAAAAAAAACGTTGAATAAGACCATGGTTATGATGTTTTGTTTGTATTAAATGATGTGAATTGTATCGATGCTTATTTCACTGAACAGAATACGGTTGAAAATGCCTACTAGGCATTATGCCCACTGGGCATATGCCTAGGCATAAATGCCCGGCATTTTGGGCATATATATTTCATGCCCAATTGGGCATATAATTTGGGGGGCGAATTGGGGGAA